GCAACTGTTCTGTCTGAGGCGGTGCAAGATTTCCGTCATTGGAACAAATTTGTTTCTGGAGGTTTTCAATGCCAATGTTAAGAAGGGGGTACGGGGCTGTAAGAAATCTACGTTGTAAAAGCGGTGCAAGATTTCCTCCATCCACAGTATGATAGTCATTAGGATCCTTGTTTTGGTGGTTGGGGAAACCAAAATCCCCTGGTTACATCTAGTCTAGTCCTTCCCATGGTGGAGAGGATGATCTTGAAAAACCATCACATGGGAGATAAGGGGTCTGCGATGTTCATCAGAAAAAGGGATCCTCTTATACATCATACATCTCAATCAAAAGAACAGGGACCTGTCATCTTCGAAAACTCCCAGCTTCAATCGTTATCACACCCGCTATCACTCCGCACAAGGTCCTAACAATCCGTACTTGCATGCCTGCACGTCACCATCACGCTGAGAAGTTGTCCGCCGACGCCTCTGACCAAAGCTCTCATGCAATACATGTTGATAGTCCCTAAACTTTAAATCCAGTCATTATCACTTTAAATTGATTCCACGAAGTTGGTGCTCCTCGTTCAAGGTCCTCACGCATACATGTAAGCCATAGTCTAAACGCCTCGTATCCACCTTAATAATTACCCTCTATAGTAGTCCCCTACATGATCCCTTGTATCCCCCTTGCCCCCCTGCCATGTCAGGAGTTTAGATTATGCCTCTCAAAGCTAAACACTATGTTACGATGACATAAGTGATGTACGTTGCTTAACACCGCATGAAGTCCCTATCTTGTCCAGTTGATTCTCCGTTAACTTGAACCTAAAGCCCGCATAATCCCCGTATTCCCTAGGAAGCGATTTAAGCTTCCTAACAGCAACCCAAAACCCTAAGCCCTTAAACCCTAAACCCTTAAGCCCCTAAACCCTAAGCCTAAAACCCAGGAAAAGTCTCAGGAAGCCACGCTCGCTCTGGGGTCGCGGGGGCATTCTCCACCACAAGGAGGCGGTGCCTCAAGAAAGCGTCTGAAGACAGACCCATGTGCCGACTTCAGTGTGTAACCCAGACCCATGAGTAATAAACCCCCTCCCTTTAATAGGGATTATACGAGGGATCCAAATATTTAGGTCCTTAAACGGCGGGTTTATTAATCATGGGTCTACATTTGTGTTTATGTAGGTCCATGAGTAGCTATCACTGAAGTTACAACTTGGGTAACTGTAGATGCGCATGAATGTAAAAGACTTGTTGAACCTTCAAGCGGGGCTTGCTCAAAGAGGGCCACTCTTAGCGATCCCTCCCCGTGTGTGCGGTTGAAATATTGCTTGGCTATAAGAGGGTAAGAGAAGGAAGGAATATCTTGAGAAGCTCCGATGTGACACGACAGATGCTCAGCTTGAGCTTGCAGAAGGCTGGGTGCCCTGCTTCACCAAAAAGTCGCTAGGAATTCCGGCATGTCTTGCATAGTATGCGGCGGTGGCACCATGCGTGTCTCGCCTAAGAAGAAATACAAGGCCAAGACTGCCACAGGAGGGTGCAGAGTCATGGATGCTGTAGGTTTGGACGCTTTGAGGAATTGCGCTCATCAGATGTGAGCCATAGTCTAAACTCGCAGTATCCCCCTAAATAGAGCCCTATAATGGTCCCCTATATAACCAGCCTTTCAGGAGTTCAGACTACAGTTCATATACTCGTGGCACACTTGCCGCTTGCTTAAGGCTCCTGCATGTCCACCACTTCTCGACTGACGCGGGGCGCCAGCCACACCAGAACCTCCGCAGCGTTTTTCTTCTGAATCATAAGGTAGTTTCCCTAAATAAGGGACCCCACACTATAATCCTTACTGTAGGGATCCCCAAAAGGGGACCCTTAATTTTTGGAACCCTAAACCCTAAACCATCCCCTTCTCAATACTGCTCCGCCTCCGTCAGACCCGCCCGGCTAGCCAGATGTAAGGCCGACCTCAGCCCAGCCAGCGGGCTACTGGGTAGTTCCCAAAATTAAGGGTATATAGGGGTCTATAGGGGTTATTTAGGGATAATGGAAAATGGAAACTACTATTTAGGGTATAGGGTATAGGGTTTAGGGGTGTTTCCCAAAATTAGGGGTGCCGTATTGGGGTTCCCCATCATGGGGATTATAGTATGCTGGGCTCTATATTGGGTTCCTCATGTATGGAAACTTCCACATCCACATCCAACCTTTGCGTGGCTTGGTCGCTCGCTGACCCTTCTGGTTCAAGGCGTTGACGCTCGCCTGTTGCATAGAAAGAGCACGTGCGGTCAGCCATATCCGTCGCACCAATGTGGTTTCCGTTATCTCATGAAAGGATGAAGGAGTGCAAACTAATGTAGACCTGTGATAGATGAACCCCCTCCTTTTTAAGGATGAACCCCCTCCTTTTACGGGCCTTAATATTAGGATCCCTACTATAACCCCTACTAACTAAGGGGAGAGGGTTTATTAATCAGGGGTCTACAGCTTCAACCCTAAACCCTAAACCCTATAGCAGTTTCCATTTTAGTTTCCATTACCCCGATATTACCCCAATATAACCCTAGTATTACCCCATAATATACCTTCAACCCTTAAAGTATTCATAGTCTACTATAATATACCATGATATACCATAATCTACTATAATATACTACCAAAACCCTAAACCCTAAACCCTATACTATCATAGTACTACCAGAAAAACACGCCACCTTGTGTTCGATCAGTACATCGCACACCGAGCTCACAGGCCTCAGAAGCTTTGCTCAAACTGGGTTTAAGGTTTAGGGTT